GATCATGTAGTGGTCCTGTCTTACCCCATGTCCGGTCCTTTTTTACCCCATTTTAGAATAGATGTCAGGCAGTGATGGTAGCAGGTAGGAATGCCTAGTATATCTCAAAAGTTGCTTATTACTTGAGGTTACCTGCCTACATACACAAACCTGCTCAAAAAATTTTTTGTAATCAGACAGAGCTTATTTCCCAAATAGGGTTAACTATTTTGTGACCCTTCTTTACATAGGTTTTCTTTAAAAATTAACCAAAAATTCATTATTTGCAGAACAGGGTTGAAACAAACACTGAAATGACTGGCAATGATTGCTCCAACATATTCTTTCATCAAATTAAATTCAGTGCAGTTAGAATGCACGCCATGGGCCGGTCCTTTCTTACCCCATGAAGGCAGCGATCCTGTCTTACCCCATTTGACTATACTGCGAAGCCTAAAACGGTGAACAAGAAAAAATATATTTTAAAAGAAAAAGGTTGATTGAGATTGAGTCTGTTGAAAAAAAATTATAAAAAACAATGCACGTCTGTATCACTTCAGATTCGGTTCTCCTGCGGTGACAAGCATAACAAATTCAAGATCAACAAACATTAATCAACATTTTTACGGTTTTATACAACCAATGTGCTGAACAACAGTCAAAAGAGCTTGGTCAATCAAGCTCGAGTTTGCAACGTGGGAATGAAGAGAAATTGTATTCCTATTGGCACCTGTTCGTTGTATAGCAAAGCCATTCAAGGCAAGAGATTCTTTCCACTACACGAAAACTAGCAAGACAAGGAGGAAATTAATACAGAATCTATACCACACAGGGTCCCTACAATCAAAAATAGTTATAGTTTGTACCTCGGTCAGCCAATCACTGAATACTCTTCAAGCTTAACCCACCAATCACTTACGAGACATCGGCTGCTTTGTGTAGGCACTTAGGCCGCTACATGTGCATAAGCGATTTTTGATAGTACGATTTTCTTATTGGATAGTACGACCCCTGACCCATAGGAAGAACGTGTGATTTGAGTGGCATTAATGCTAAGTACATATGTGCGGAAGCACATATAAGAGACATGTGAAGCATGCCCAGTCTTTAATAAATATTATTCATTATTTATACAATTGATACAATTTACAGGAATAGTGGTTTACAACAACACGACGTTCAAATAACGTCCCTACAGTAGCACTGTGTTCCCCACAGTTACGTACGTCAACAGAAAGAATTTCTGGTCAATTCATTTTTGCCCTGGTCAACATTTTAACTTTGTTTAATTTTAAAGCTCTTTCGTCCAACAATATTTTATTCATGAAAATATTGTACCATAGATACCAACCAATTCTCTCATATTTACGAAAATCATTTCAAATTTAGGTATGTTAAAGTTCAACAAAATAGGCAGGTTCCATTTTGCCTTAAGTCATAGGAAAATTACTGCGCTGATGAACTAAATTTGTTGGTACATATGAGCACAAAAATGTAAATCACAATATACAGGAACAAGAAATACTAATCGATCTTGAGATCAGATAAGAAGAAATGAATGGAAGTAGCTTGATCATTTATACATGGTAGGTACGTTAGAGTACGGTGATCCAGATGACATTATAATAAGCCAATTAATTCACAGCTTTCATGTTAATCTCAAACTTGTAGTGAGATACCAAATAAAAATCGAGTCACATTGATCAACAATATTTACATTGAACACGCAGGGAAACAAATAATAAATGAGCCAAATAGTCAAATTATTAAAACTTGAAATAGAGTAATAAGCTTGACTGTTAAAAATATTGAGGCAGGGAAAGTCTTGAAGAATTTGTGGCAAAGCTAAGAAACGGAGATGATAATAGTGACTGCCTTTAGAAACTTAAACGAGAAAATTTCTAGCACTACGTTGTCCAGAAAGTCATGATAAATTTCATATATTTAATAATTACTATTGTGAAGTACCCTAAGTTTCTAGATAACTTAAAGATATTGTTACATAATAAAGTACCGTAAACCTACAAGAGAGTAATTGTGGAATTTAAAAATGTACTGGGGTCATAAGATTGATCATGCGAACTTCTTTGCTCTGGGTCAATGTACATCATGCCGCACACAACAGAAAATCCGACAATGACGCACACATTTTTCCACAATCTGTGGTGGCCGGTGTTCATCTCGTGCGGAAGAACCTGCACAAAAAAATTATTGATATTCTGTAGCTTGAATCAATACTGATGAAGATGAGACAAACACAAATTATCCGTGAATAGAAAATAAGCTAAATGTAATCATTTGTTCATTGATTACAAATGATAAAATTATCTCTATCTATAAAATTCACAATTTCTACAAAAAAAAAACTCAAATTCTGGGCCATTAGTTACTTGGGAACATTGATGAATGATTAAATGGTGCACTCAGGCTGGAGATTGAATAAAGTGTTTACAGTTCTTGTCAAATAAGATTTTAGCTGAACAGTGGTAAACAAGATAATTTTATTTTTGGCCATCCTAATGAGAGGATGGGAATAAATGTTCCTCCATCCAGTACACATTTAAAGATATAAATAAACACAATTTCGACTTAACTCAGGAAATCAAAAATGATCCGACCATTAAAAATCTCCCCTTTGTAAAAATCTTCAAAAAATATTTGTAAAAATCTATGCGCTACAAGTACACTTACCTCAAAGAATGTGACATAGAGGAATGTGCCACATGCCAGACCTTGCAGAGCTCCAGAGATGAGGGCAATAGTGGGTGACTCGTGCATGGAGCTGATACCAACACCCAGAGCAATACCCAAGGGCGCAGTTATGCAGAAAAACACGTTGCTGAGCACTATGTTGCATACATTTAAGCGAGACTGGACCATATTGAGACCCAATGAGAATGCAATGATGCCTTTGTGAAAGATGACTATAACAAAGAGAGCAACAACATTGTTAATAGTTTCTTGCAATCCAACAGCAAGGCCTTCAAATATTGAGTGCAAAGACAATGCAAGTAGCAGCATTATCGAGCGCAGCGGTGAATGCAGAGATACACCTTCCAAGACTGTCATGTCATGATTATGTATTTCCACTTCTGAGGTGACATCAATGCTATCTGCAGGTCTCCCAATAGCTCCATATGATGACACACTTCCAGAAAACACCGAATTATTAGAGCGCACAGAGGCAGTGAAATCAGGTCTGTCGGTTATCCCTCCTAGGCTGTGTTCACGCTGCAGGGACTGCCGAGCTTGAAGACCTGAATCAACAGAGCCAGAAAGTAGTCGAGAAGTTGCAGGGTCTTGAACTTCCAGGTCCTTCTCTTTGAACCAAAGCACAATTTGTTCAATGGTAAGGACCATGAGGAAGCCATAGACAACTATAAATTCGGCCACAGGGAAGGCGCCACCTTGGACTGGGTAGTGCTTGAGGACTGTTTTGATCTGGGCCTGAGTGTCTGGGAAGAGATCCAGAATGCAGGTCCCCATGAACACTCCACCAGCAAAGCAGGACAGGAGGCTCAGCACAGCTTGATATCTGACAAATATGAGCAATAATTAATGACTTGTGATCACCATAGTTACCCAGATAAATTTTTTGCAACTAGTCCACTTCATCATTAAACATACAATGAATAAATTTAGGGTAGATTAATCACAAGTATCCTGAATGCTACAATTCTCCACAGTGAGAATGTTAATTTTTAGTCTTTTAATTGGCTGCCAGGTCATTGATGTTTCTTGTTCTGATGACACTCTTAATCTTCAGCATTATGATGCAATAAAATCTGTCTGATCGATCATTTTATTTTTTAACAAGTGGAATTGATTTATTTTAAGGTAACAAAATAAATAAGTACCTACCTATAGGTACCTATATAAGAGACACAAGAATACAACCTTGACAAAAATTAATAATAACAAGCAAGTTACAAAGAAAAGAGGCAGATATGAGAACTTCACATGAAGAACAGGAAACAACTTTTGGTATGTGAAAGAATATATTTATTTTATGCAGATAGCTTTTACAAAATTTTGATGTGCAAATTTATGTACCTATTATACACAAGTCTCACTGCCTAAACTTGAAGATCACAATAACAAAATGATAGGGTAAAATTGAAATGAGAGAAACCTTGCAGCTCCAGAAATCTATGAGCCTAGTGCTGTACTTTCAAAAGAAAGTAAAGAGTTTGTAAGTCTGTCAGCCAATCACAAACAGCCTTCAGAACAAAACCCACCAATCACAGATGGAAAATCAGCCTCTACCTTTGCATGGGCTACATCCCTACATGTCTACGTACTTAATTAAATTCTGGAAGTAAGGCCCCAGATCTTTTGCACCATTATAAGCTGGCACATTTATAACTGACCTGAGTAAAAAAAAAAACATATATAAACTTGTTGTTACCTCAACAAAAAACAAATATCACTCACTTGAGCCTCTCAGTTGCATTGGTGGTGTGTCTGATGCGTCTCACAAACACCAGTGGCAACATTGATGCAACAAAGGTAATTATAAGCATCAAAAGTAGCACTAAGATTTTGATAGCAACAATTCCTATCATTTTGCTCTATTGTGCTTACTTTAAATAAAAGAATATACAGGTTACTTTGGCTATTTTCTTCTCTAGAATATTTAGTAGAAAGCCCAATCAACATCTGCAGCAAAAATCAAGACATAGGGTAGGTAGTAATTACAAACTTGAATGTAAACAGTTATCATAATGTCAAAAAATAAAATGATAGTACCACCAAATGAGGTAATAAGGGACAGGTGGGGTAAATTGGGACAGTCATCTCACATTTCGTAGAAATATTGCAATGCCATATGATAGCCCTTGCAAAGAAGTTTAAAATGAGCCCAAAATTGTTTATGAAATATTTCATGGTAAGAAGTTATTAACAAAAAAAGCTCAAAACTGTCCCTTTTTACCCCGTTTGATGGTATCTCATTAAAAAAAAAATATGGTAGCCATTTCTGAAAGAAGGGGTAATAAAGGACACACCCCCCAGGCAATAAGGGACACCCCTAAAAATGCATTTACAGTAGAACCTTGATTAGCAAAGGCTCCAGTTAACAAAAAAATAAATCAACAATGAAAAATTGTGATAATATTTACCTTGCTCAGCAAAAAAATTTCACTTAACAAAAAAGTAATGCATCATCGGTCATCACAAAATTGTGCAGAGAATGTCATAGATAGAATTGTGTGCACTGGGCAACATAAAATGAAAAGTAATTAACCTAAACTACGATTTATTTATTCAAAAAATATGATGGTTGTTACTAGAATATTCCTTTCTGTTTCAGGTATGTTTTTTTATGATCTTTTTTTTATAAAATCTTTTTTTTTTTAATTCACATGACCCAATTAAAATGGTGTGAAATTACATGCAATACTGTAAGTTCACAGATACAGAAAAGTGCTATACGGCTGCTGGTATGAAGCTTGTAGTGGACAAGGTCATTGTAAATGCTCAATGGTATGTTCCGACACTTCTCATCTTTTTAAATTCTGACACTTCTCAACTTTTTCCTTTATATTAAGCTTTGTCTTAGTTCCACGCATGTGTAAATGGTTGAAATAGTGATTTAATAGTACCATTGTGAGCCAGATTTCTGCAAAACACTAGGTCTGGTCAGAAAACGTTAAGATCCTCAGAGCAAAAGTCTACGTCACCCAGTGAGAACATCAAAACACGTGTCAAAGTGTTTCTCTACCAAATAGTGATAAACTGTTTGTGTAGAAATAATATTATGGTTTGAGACTTATAAATAAGTCTGTGAATATATTAGGAATCCTTTATGTATACTTGTAGGTATTTGCTGATTTTAAGTGGTAAATAAATTAATAGATGATTAAGTTAAGAGACGGTTTTAGACACATAAAAACTAATTCCAAGTTTCCAACACAGCTTGGAATTGGACTTTGGACACACACAGCTCGTTCTGAGCTGTGTTCAAAAATTAAAAGTTTCTTAATTAAAAGCTTAATAGCTCTTAATTAAAAGCTTAATTAAAAAATTACAATTTTTTAATTAAGCTCGTTCCAAGCTGTGTCGTATTCTGATACAGCTCACACAGGGCGTCGGAATTCCAACACGGGGCATCGGAATTACGAACTAGTAAGAGTTTGAAGTGCTTTCGGAATTAGTCTCAGTATCTCACAATATGCCAAATTTAGTCACAAACAGCATCGGAATTCAGCGATTTCATAGATTTGAATTCTAAAGGCTTTTAAATAAATATGGCAACAGTTTGTGACATTTTATCATTGCTGACACATAGTGTGGTGTTTTGAGAGTGACATAAAGCAATCAGAAGTTCAGAACTCGAGTTCTGCATACGGTGATCTTTTTATAGCCATTCATTTCTTGCTAGTCCTCAAAGTGTCAGAATATGGTGTGTTTACCCAATTACCCTAGCAGCCTAGCTAGTTCAAAACTTCAAACTATCGTCAGTCATGAAAAGATCCAGTCAAATGATACAATTTTAGACCTTCTGTGAACAAGGCACAAAAAAGGAAAAGAATCAGCAACCCACAACAGGCCACATCACTGACATCAGCCCTACAATTCAGTGCCGAGATCACTATGTTATGTTATTAACTTATTATCATAATCAGGGCCAGGCACTAGCCACTAGGCAGATGCTCATTGAATAAAAAAATCAGTAACTGAATATTTTCTCTATATATATACATATAATATAGTACATAGTATTAAATAACTACTACTATATGTCTATAAGTATAACACATCACAATCGAATTCCTGGCAGTCTGGCAGATCAAATTCAAAATTGTGTTCTTCACATGAACATGATGATGTTCATAGGACACAGCCTCCAACTCCAAGGTGTACCTATTATAGGCTATACTAGTATATACATAGTACATACATGCCATGAAACTAACAGAAATTAAATATTGCAAGTTAGAATTAGAGATGTTAACTGAGCACTAACAGCGATAAAGAATAAATTATAAGAAGACGAACGCCATTCTCCACTGAACTCGCACTGTCTCTCTGTACCGAGAGTAAAAGGTTTCCACAAATATGACTAACCGTCACTAACGCGCATGTGACGTGTTACAAACTTACAGTCTTACAAGTTACACTTCACTGGGACTGGGGCTTCCGTACCTACTCTGAACACTTCTGCTTTGTATTAATTGGTCAAAGTATATTAGGCCTATTAGCTATAGCTCGTAGGCTTGTTTGTTTACATTGTAGCAGATTCAAAGTAGACATTGTTGATAACGTCGGGGTCTTCATGAATTATCGACGTAAATGATTTTTGGTTTCATTGTTTACAAATATAGGATTGTTCCTTTTCGGCATTAATATGAAATACACGACCAATTAAAATCTCGGTCGGTAAACAAGAATTCATTGTTGTTCATTTGCAGAAGAATGGCTCCAGGTCCGTAATAGATAACGCCAATTGATGTTTTGATGATAAAATCGAAGAACGATTTTACTAGAACGATTGAATTATTTTTCAAAACACAGAAAAAAAGTTTTCCTAGAATACATAATGTCGCCTGTTGCCTCCAATTTATATCAAAATTTTGATTGTGATGTCAATTCGTGCGCTAAAAAGATAGATTCACTCAAAGAAATTAACCAGACTTTGTCCAAATAGCGACGTACTTTTCGTGGGTCATCTTGCACCAGTTTTGGCCAGCTAAGGGTTAATCAGTGCTGCGTGTAGGGTATGCATCACCATTAGGATAATAGGACACCTTGATTTTTTTCCTGAACGTTTGTGAGATTTTGAACAACGATTACGTGATTATAAGTCTGAATCGTTCAGTGAAAATGCTAGGAATAATTGCCAATTCTATGGCAATCAGAATCGGCAAGCAGGTCGGCTGGTTACAGCAAAGCAAAATTTTGTGTCGAGTGTTCGAGACCGCAAGCTGTGAATGTTTTGCGATGTCAAGAATTGGCGACAGGCCTACGGCGTAACAAACACTGAAACTGCTATTATCATCATTATTCTTATTGAACAAAAATTCAACATTCTGTCACGCCTATTTTCCATTAATAATAAATTGAAACTCCGTGGGAATGAATTGTTTATACTTAATTCATCGAGGTTTCGCAAGACATCAAATTGCTGGTACACCCATTACTCCATAACTCTTACAACAAACGTTTACTAATCAGGAAAGGAGAATAAAACAAGTAAAGTAAGAACGTATTTATCTGGTACAATAAAGGCATTTTAATCTCGCTCTTTAGTTTGACGATATCAACCTAAATGCTCTATATTCATCGACCGACTGCAGTGAATTTGGAAGATAAATGTACCACTTCCCGGCGCAGCAATTCTCATGGACAATATTCACATCATTGGAATCAGCAAACGTTACGATAAGGTCAATCGCAAACGTTAAGATAAAGATACTATAGGCGTAATAAATTTGGGGAGGGGCTCTGGTAGCTATGTAATTTCTCGAAAACAAATAAAAAACGCAAAAACCATGATAGCTATTGAGAAAATAATGCATTGATTAGTAGTTCTTAATTCGTCATCGTCAAGCCGGATATTAGACTAGCTCAGGCGTGCGATGGAATCATGACATTTTAATCACATACAATAAGCTATACGAACAACATAAATTAGAACCCTCGTCAGTACATGTAATGCAATTAATACTCTTAAGGTTAACCTTTTGCAACGGGTGCGATTGCGCCAGTAAAATTTTTAAATAACTTGTGCATAGAATAATAGTGAAAAATCATTAATAATTTTCTTACATATTCATATGAGCGCTCTGAAAATTACTTACGGTACTACTTTATGAACATGAAAAGATTGTATCCAACATACCCAATGCACACACATGTATATAGCAGATACACATTAAGATCAATTCAGAATTATTAAATATATATATGTATGTATATATCCAACCTTACGCCTATTGTGCATATTGTGTATATGCACAAGCTGGGTAAGATTAGGAAGTAGGTTGTTTTAACAATTTTTTTAGTTTTCCATCAGTTTTGAACAAAAGACATTTAGTGAATTTGGAAGTTCAAAGATACTAGGTTTCTAAAGGACAATTTATTCTATCTGAATGACATTTCAAATAAATAAAATAAAACATAATAATACCTTCTTTAAATAAATAGTTTTGAATGACTAAAATGTCCTTTGAAAATCCTAACTTGGGACTTTCAAATACAACTAAGTTTAATTTGTAAATTACAAAAAAAAAAATGCAAATAAAACTCACTATGTGGTCTTCAAAACAAGCTACATTAGAGGTTGAACTATGTTTCCACGAATAAAAAAATTATGTCTCAATTACTTGTGGCAAAGTTTAAGAAAATATAAAAAGGAGGTTATTACATCTATTTCATCCATTTAAATAATTGACAATTACCCTGGTTCATATTAATAAATATCTTTCAATTTAAGGAATATATGTGTAGAAAAAGGCAAGCTTATGAAATGAAACATCCTACAATTCCTAACATTTAATTAAATGAATAAATAAGTTATCACAGTAGTGTGCTGCCAGAAGGATTTGCTTCTTATTATTATTATTACATACGGTACTCAGCAAATTAGGGATTCTAATGCTAAATAGGAGATACCGAATAATTTTGCAGTAACTCAAGTCATATTATTTGAGAAACAA